GAATCATAGCAGCATTTCAAAATTGCCAAGTTTTCATATTTGGTGGTCAAGTTTTATGTTTAATCACTAATAGGTAGGGGTGTAGAAGTCAAAGCTTATATCTGTGTTTGCCTAAAAATTATTAATCCATTTAGAACATACATGCATCTGAATTTTTTTTTTTTTGTCATTAAAAAAATTTCAGTCTTTTGGTATTTCTAGCAGTGGGCTTAAGGTCTAAAAAATTTAGATGGTTCCTCACAATTTACAGTGAAATGAAGGCACAGGTCAGAAAACACTTTTAACTGTTACAAAGTCTGCTCAGCCTGCTGGTTTCTTTTGAGGGAGTTGTGAGGAATATATGAATCAGTGTTGGCTAGTCACTCAAGTTAATGTTTATGAGAAATTCATAACTTCCCTTTCATGGAATAAATTTCTATTTAACAAGACTAACTCTTTGTTTTACTTCTAAATTATAACAGCATTTTGCAACACATTTTATGTGATATTTTATTTACACATACTTTAAAATTGTGTAAATAGTGATTTTTTTCCAAAAGTACATAACTACAGTCTGGGCTTCTAAACATCAGCTCACTGGTATGTGCTATTTAGCAACTTGCCAATGGGTTTGGGTATTTTTTGTTGGAGAGTTAGGACTTCATATTTTCTTATAGTTTTGTGTTTTTTTTACTTATGATAGACTGACACCTCTTTACTTTTTTAGACATAAAGTCTTTATACATTCTTAGATGGCTAAAGGTCATAGCCAGTGCTGTGACAAGGTTAGGGAATCTTCAGTGTTGTACATGTTAAATTACGAAGTCTCCTGGAGGTGGAATAACCCTTGCATGTCCATTAAAGAGCTGGTATTTTGCCAACAGTACCTTTCTGAATAAGGCACTCAAGCTTTTAAGGAAGTGTCCCTGGCCCCCCCTTGGCCCTCTCTCCCTCCCCAGTGTAATCACAGTGCTCTAATACTGCTTTGTTTTGGTTTTCAGTGATCGCACTGTGAGGATCTGGAAAGCTCGGAATATTATAGATGGACAGATCTCAGATACAGGAGATGCAAATGAAGATCTTGCCAGTAATTGAAGTTACAGGGGATAAAGGAATAAATTGATCGATTGGAGGTGCACTCTATGCAGTTTGCTGCATGTCTAGTAGTTAAACACTGATGACTGGAATGGACTGAAAATGCGTGAACTCTTCCACTAGACCTGCTGTCCTTAAAATATGTACTGTATTTAATAACCTCTCGGTAACATGCTTGAGTCTCAACAGTCATGTGTATCTCTATATATTATGGCTGAATTTGTGTGCATATGTAATACTTGCAGTTTAAATTAACTGGAATTCAGTCTTCTCTAATGACCATCTCAAAATTATAACCTGAAATATATAACAAAAGTGCTCTGCTGTATTTCACTCACAAGTATGATCAGCTGTTTTGCATTTTACGGTAACAGGGGAAGGAACGTGTCCCAGGAATAAGCCTTTGATCATGAGAGGCAGTTTGAAGATTTTAAAGGTCATTTACACTGTTGTTAGGAAAGTGGAGTGAATAATAGATGGGAAGAAGCTGTTAACAGTACATCTACCTGACATGGCTGTATCCTGCTAACAGCAAACGCCATATGATTTGTGTGTTGATAGCATATAATCTGTGTTGACCAAAGTTGTGCAGCTGTGTGTACTCTGTGCTCAGGACTAGAACACAAATGCCCACAAATGGCTATGTTTTATTTGTGTTTTGCCTATGTTCTGCAATGACTAGATGTTCATAATGTCATGATAAATATATCTTAATCTATTTTTCTTACGGATTTGTTTCTATCATCTCACATTTTCTTTTTTTTAAGCAAATTGTCTTTCCTTTTTATCTAATTTTATATGCTGCTAAATGTATTTTAAATACACTGTTTTTTGCAAACTTTGGCAGTTACTTTGAGAACTGAACCACATTTATTGGGAAAAGCTATGTAAATAGATGGTTGTATAAAGAAAATATCTTATCTTGTGCCTGTATGACTTTTGAAGCTCTTGGAACCTGGATATTGAGGAAGGTTGTATAATTTACCCAACTGCTCTGAATATTAATTTGTAAATTCTGCAAATTTTAAAATTTTATGTAGATTCAGAAACAGTGTTTGGATATTGAGGTTTTTTGGTTGTTTTGTTTTTATTTTTCAGAAAATATCAGTCTGTAAATTATAGCTTGTGTAGGTAACAAATAAAGATGTGAATGTGAACTGCTTTTTTGTCTTGTCCATCATACTTCCTTATAAAAATTCACTTCCTTTGCAAAGGTGTTGAATTTAAACCCACAGTTTTACAGTGCAGTAGAGTAGCTTGGTGAGCACCATAGCCCATATATCCCATGTCTGTGTTCTCCTTGGCCATTATTTGTCTTTTTATAGCTTAGGAACCCTAGGGGGATTCCCTCACACTTAGTACAGTACAGACATAAAATGAAGCAGGTGACTCCTGTCCCTATGAGATGACACCTCTCTTACCCTTACTGCATATGGTCTGTCAAACAAGGAAAAGTGCTGATGCCTCTTACTGGTCTTGGAGGAATTACTTCCTTCTCTGCTCAGCTTGAAAGATGAAAATGCTGCTTGCAATTTGAGGTTACCAATCTGTTCCAAGTTTTGATGGAGATGGGCGATGAATGATATATATTGGTTAAAAACAATGTATAAATTAGTTAAAATAAGCAGCAGCACTACCACTTAGTGTTTGTCTATCATGCTTTTTAGCTACCCAAAGGGTATAGACACAAATTATTTGGTATTATGTGACAACCTTGAGCAAATTCCAGTGGAGAGTGGATTTACACACAAGACTCACATGAGAGGCTTTTTGTGGAGGGTCCCCATTCCACTTGGCCCAGCAGGTGTTGTGCCAAGCTACACAAATGATACCAACAGCTTGGTGACCCCTGTTTTTGGGGCTGGACACTCATGGCTGTGGGTGCAAGATTCATATGAATATTGTGTTTTGCAGCTGCAGGACATTCCCTTGCAGCCTTGGGAAAAGCCTGCCCTCTGTCCAGCTGCTCGACTCTGAGCACATGGGACTGTGTGGCCATGGCCTGGGCTGCAGATGTTCCTCTCCAGGGATGCCTGGCACTGCATATATTTGGTTTGGCTTATTTCCTGATAGGCACTAATGTTACATAATGTAGTAATAAAAAATATTTAGTTTTAAATGTTTTTTTCTTCCAGGAAGATATTCCACCTAAACCAGGTCTTACCGTAGAACAAAGCTTTCACACTTTTGCTCTGAAAGTTCTTGCCATCAAGTAATTGGAAGAAAAATGTCATTTTTTAAAGGTCACAGTATCACTGTCTTGTTTTAATGGAGAATTCTTTGACTACTGTTTGTTTTTTTCCAAACTTCATCTGTGCTGTAAACCCATATACGTGATAAAAGGTAATATGAAATCAGAAAAAGGTAAGTACTGGACTCCCACTGTCTGAACGTGTTTGTGTCAAATAAAAAACAAAGGTGGTCTCTGAAAAATTAATTTTCTAAGAAGTCATGGAAAAATCACATTTTCCTCTCAAAGTTGGAATTCAGAAGTTGAGCAAAGTGTGTGGAAAAATTAGACTGTATCTCACCTTATCTGCTTAGATACAGTCAAGGTCATGTGTAACAAATAATCTCATTAAAGATATGAATTCTAAGAACCTATTTGCAGTGCTTCTGATTGTGTATCAGAACAAGTGCTTATCGTGCCCCTGACTTGTATAAAAGGCTTCAGACTGCCTGCACAAGTCCTCCTTCAACCATGGCAAAGATGAGGAGCCTGTGTTTCTTGGCTGTTGTGCTTGCAGGTAAGTACACCACATTTGTATTTTGTCCTAGGCTTCATAAGCAAAATATAAAAGTGCTAACAATAGAAGAGCTGTTAAAAGAAATGACTGTTTTCCATAGAAAAGGAGAGAACAGGCATGGCACTGACTCCACCTGAGGTGACTGTGGGAGGACAGCAGAGCTGACTTGTTTAGAAATATGCCCCAGTCCTACAGTGCATTCAGCACTTGGGCACCTGCATAGTCAAAAGGGAATCAGTGGGATCATTCAGCTCTGAAGATACCTATTGCTTTGTTAGGGTCTTTTTTCTGTAATTTTTACTCCACCATACCAGAGGTTAATTTGGTCCAGAGAGTAGTAAAGGGAGAATACATATTATTTTGTTGCTGAAGGATGAAACCTCTGCAGCAAATGCCTTTGAAATGTACAGATGAACCAAAAATGTAAATACTTATACTATTAAATGAAAAACTGTGTGGTAATACTTCAATTCATTCCTTATGCCTTAATTTTAATCCAATTTTTCAAAATTAAAGTGAAGGTTTTTAAAAATCAATGAGGATTGTTTTTCATCTATATCTTTCCAACTGCCTTTCTTTAGCTTCTGTTCCCATGGAAATTATCATGGAAAAGCAGCAAGTAGCCATAGGTGTTGCTATATATTCAACTGCTTGTTTGGATCTAGTCTTCATATGTTTACAGACATGAGCTGTAAATACAGTAAAAAATTATGGCTTTAAAATTATTTTTAAAAGTAGGGAAGGAAAATTGTATCTTCCCACTTGCTGCGATCACGTTTGTACTACAATAGAAGTAAATCCAGGAACAAGGGATGAATAAGGTTGCAGCCTTATTCAGCTGCTCACACCTCCAAGTCTTTGTTTTTAAAATTTGCTGGAAAATGGAAGCTTTGCATTAATGGGAGAAAAAATTGAAGAAATTTCTTGGCTCCTACTGGGGGAATGTTTTTTTCCTTTGAACTAGGTTAGTCATTCACAATCTTGTTCATAAGAAGTATTTTGAAAGTATTTTACAATACAAATTAGTTCATAAAAGTCTCCCACAAACCTATCCTGTGTAAAATGACACTACATTAATAATCTGCTGTAGTGTGTTCACTCATACTCTTCTTGATTTCAGCGATGAAAACACTAATGCTGCATTTGACTCTCACTAGAAAACACACTCCAGACCAAAATGAAATGTGATGGGTTTTGTTTATTTTGTGCTCCAAGAAGAAATAATTGCAGGAGTGCAGAAGGGTATTCATATTCCTATTATGCTTTGGATGAAAAAGAGGATAAGAATTTAGAGCTTTTCTATGTGATGTATCATGAGGGGTGAATGCTGGACAGAGAGCAGTCAGCCTGTGGGACCTGACTCTCTGCCCCACCAAAAGAGGGGGAACCCAATGCTGCCTGCCCAGCAGCTGGTGCAGGTTAACAGCCAGATAATTCCCGTTAACTCCAGCCTCCAGAAGATGATAATGAGGCACGGTGGCATGGAGCAGTGAGCTCTGCTGAGCAGCCTGGGAGCATCAGACCTGAGTGTCAGATGTTCCTGTCCAAAAGGGGCTTGAGAGTTTGCTCAAAAAAAAATGTAGGTGGCACTCCTGCTTTTTTGTATTCATATCCCCCCACTTGGAAATCAACTCGGGCATTGCAGCATGATGGCATTCTCTAGCAAGAATCTACTATTTCATTCTGTAACTTTTTCTAGTATACATAATTACTGCTTGTGCACATCTGCTTGTAGAATTCTTTCTGTGGAGAAGCCCAGACTGCATCAGCAATCATGTTTTAGGCTTTCAAGCACACAACAGTCCGCATTAAAAAAAAAAATAAAGCAGAGATATTAGTCATTTTGTAGAAAAGGGCAATTATCGTTCAAGTAGATTTAATCTTGGAATATTGCTGTAATGACTAAAATTACATAAATTAACTTCAGAATAAGTATGCTGCCAGTGATATGCCTGCTCTCTCTGAGAATATTTACCGACAGCAGTTTGTCAGCACAGCAGGGAGCTGGTCTTGTGGTCCCCCTGCTCTTCTGAGGCTCTCAACCAGAGGGCTTGACTTGCAGCTGTAAAAAGGGCAAATTTAGCACCTTACTAACAGGTTTTTTTTCATGATGATTCTGTGAATGACTAATATATGCCTTTTCTTTTACTGCTAGCAACTTTCCTTTACTCATAACCATACCTATATTAAAACAAACTACTAATACTGTGTAGATACAGTTGTCATACGATACAGAAAAGAAACCAAATATGCACATACACTCACTGTTTTTCTATTTATACCATACAAGTACATGCTGCTTGTCACATAGTTGTATCTCTATAGTTAGAAAACATCTGTGAATAACATAATTACACAGAAAATGTAGCACTTTAATATTGACAGCAGTCCTTACTGAAGACTCCCTCCTTCTCTGCCAGCCTGCAGTGTTGCTCTCATGCCTCACCAGCAGCTTCATTATGCTGCTATTTAACTTTGTATGAGTATTTCAAGCGAGTCGTGCTTCAGCTGAGCACAGGCAGCTCTGAGTGCAGAATAATGCAGACCCAGTGCCTCGGCTTGTAAAAGAAAGCGGCTGCTGCTCTTGCTCCGGTATGAGCAGGCAGCTGCTCGGCCAGTCCTAGTTCATGGGATAATGGGTACCAGCCCTAAGACGGGGAGAAAGCACATCCAGAACCAAGAATATCTGAGGTTCGCGGTGCTGTGGGGTTTTTGACGCGGTTCCCTGCTGCTCTGACGGCTTTTCCCCCACAGCCCTGGGCGGGTGCCTGGGCGAGGAGCAGGACGCGCAGTGCCCCGGCAACGTGGCGGCGCAGAAGCGCATTGACTGCCACCCGCAGCCCGGCGCTTCCCGGGAGGCCTGCGAGGCCCGGGGCTGCACGTGGTGTGCACCTGATGTGCCCAACGCTCCCTGGTGCTTCTTCCCGGAGAACAGTCCCTACGGCTACGCCCGCAGCGGGGGCCCCGAGCAGACCGACAAGGGCTGGAGGTGAGTGAGTGAGTGAGTGAGTGAGTGAGTGAGTGAGTGCGGGAGGCTCCCCGGGTGCTGCAGGCCGGCACTGCCCACGGCCGGCGCCGCCGCCCCGGGCGCTCTCCCGAACACATTGCCCCGAAAACTTTCCTTCCCCAAGGAGGGAAAGGGACACCCTTCTCTGTGCATTGCCATAGAACTGGGGCTTGTGCTCTCACCACACCTCAGGTGAGGAAACCAGGTGCAGGCACAGAGTGCTCCCTCCCGCCCTGGCAGCTGTGTCTCAGGAAACTACGAGGTCTCCTTTCTTTGGTGGCCTCTGTTTTATCCATTAACATCAAGGAAGGCCTAAACTGGCCTCAGGGATTATTTCTCTCAGTAAGTCAATGATTTATTTTTAAAGAGCTGCCACAGAGTAGCTGGGTGGTTCCCCTGGCCTGCCCGAGGGTGGTCTCAGCCAGTGATCCCTCGTGGTGGTCACCAGCACGTGTTTGCACTGCAGAGTCACGCTGAACAAGCGCCAGGCCTTGTCCCTCTTCGGAAATGACATTTCCCCGATCGTCTTTGAGGTGGAGTTCCAGACCAAGGACAGACTGCGGTTCAGGGTGAGTGTTTGGGGGTTGGAATCATTTAACCAAAGCAACACACATGCTAAGGAGTGAGCTGACCTGCCCCCTGCTCGCCTCGCTCTAGCTCTACGACCCCAACGCACAGCGGTTTGAAGTCCCACTGAAGATCGATGGCCCCGGGGTCACTGCTGAAGAAGCCAACTATGAGGTGGAGTTCTCCGATGATTCCACACACTTAAAGATCAAGAGGAAGAGCACTGGCACTGTGCTGTGAGTACCACACATGATTCATATTGCTTTTTGTAAAAGTTAGGTGTGATGAGGTGAGCACTCTTTACCTACATTCTGTTGCTTGGGTCTGTGGGACAAGGGGTCAAAGGATGTGGTGTAAATGCAGATTTGTGCCTTGTCCCGGAAGGACTTTCATTATTAATGGGGGTATGTGCCTGTGTAACAGACAATTATCTACGTGCATGTATAAAAGTTTATGCAATAAGTCAAAGAACTTCTGAGGCTACAATTTCATGGCTTGGGATGCTGGTAAACTCAACTCATCAGAGCACTGAGCTAAGATTTCTGAAATTTGAGTGTCAGGAACTAAGTGCCAGATCTCCTGACACTCTCCAGCAGGCAGGTCTAAGGAGCTCAAAGCAGTGGAAGCTGTAAGCCTCTAATTTCCACTGATGTCACTGAGTGGCACTGGCTCTAGTTGTCGCTCTGCAAAAATGCCATTTGTTTTCTCAAGCTAGTACTGTAAGTTTAACTTCAGCAAAGCTCCTTTCATTAACAAATGTCACCAGGTGTCATAATTTCCCTTCTCCTTGGCTTCCATCAACACATCTCTAGTGCATAATGCTGCTTAGAAAGAGAGTCCCAATCAAGGTGCATTCCTGGCAGCTGTTTTTGGGAATGCAGCAGTGAGCAATTTAAGGATGGCTTAACATGAGTGATGCAAATGAGACCATACAGCCCCAAGAATGGTCTGCCGATGGAACCATCATGCTGGGTTTTTAATGAGCTGACCATCCTTTTGAACTACAGTCTTATGGCATCTCTTTATACATGTCACAGTCAATTCTGTAAAGTCTTACTTATGCAGGCTATTTTAAATGCATGCATTATGCATTACTCTAATAACAAAAATAATTTAATTTCTCATTAGACTTAACAGCTCTGTGTAAACAGTGGGGTTTTGTTAAAGGCCCAGTTTTCTTCTTCTTCCTGTAAAGGCTTATTAATTGGAATGCTGGTGTAAGGGGTGAATGCATAAGTGCCTAGCTCATGGCCCATTCTCATTCAGCCCTCCCCACCTTCACCTAGACCCTAAGGCTTTAGCCTGGATAAATCCAACTTGAGATGTCCCAGCTAAGGGGAGGGACTGCTATGGAGCAGATGCAGGGTCTGCCAAAGGCACAGCTCCAGTGACAGGCAGAGGAACGCAAGTCAGGAGAGGGACACAACCCCACTGAGCAGGTTTCCAGGAGGGCACATTCAGTGCCCTGCTGTGGGCCTGGGGAAGCCTCCTGCATTCCCCTCCATCTCTTTGTGCACCAAGACCCGCGCCCAGCAGCAGCAGCAGAGGTGTGGGTGCAGCCTTGCTGTGCTGCAGAGCCCAGGGAGGCAGAGGGCAGCCTTGGTTTGCAGCACTGGCACAGCAGCAGCAGTGATGCTCTGCTCTCCAGTATCCCCGTGGGAAATTGTACACTGCCTCCAGGCAGGTAAAGGAGTGCTCCTGAAACCCAGCCAAGCCCAGAAAGAGGAAATTGTGGGTGAATATAATGCACAAATAATGGACTTCTGTCCTGCAAGCAGTGGCAAGGCTGCTCCCAAAGACACAGGATTTTGTGTACAGAAAGGGAAATTGTATGTTCCTTGGAATTCTGGTTTCATGTGAAATGGCACAGCCAGTACTGTAGTCTAAAGGATCCTGTCAGGGAGCCATTCCTCTCACAGCTGAATGATATTCAGTTTAGTTGTACTCCCTGTGTGAGGAGCAAAAATGCTTCCCCTTCATTTGTTTGCCTGTCCATCCTGTCAGAGTGAGGAAATGCAGGTGCTCAGAGATAGCTCCACAACCTGTCTTAGAGGGATTTGCAATCTCCTTAGCTACCAAAAGAGCTGTGCAGATGGAATCTTTCAAAACAGGAAAGCAGGTTATATATCCTGGCCTGAAATCTATGGTTGGCTGCATTTACTTTACTGGGAGGGATGAGCCCTCAGCAATCAGCATTATAGGAACATTCCCATCAGTGGCTGCACTTGACTGCCTGGGTCCAGGGGTGCACTGGTGGCATCTGGCAGGTTAAGTAGATTTTCGTGTTAGTTCAACCTGCCCAAAGGCAGGTTTGAATGCTAAAAACCAAATCTTTTCCTTTGGGTTCCCTCCAGAAGTGGGAGCAGCTGCTGCAGGGCGCCCGGGCACCAGGTGGTGGTGTCTGTGCCCGGGCCAGGTTAGGGCAGGCTGTGTGTCCCTGAGAAACAGGCAAGTGCCTGACTCCTGGAGGGACTTCAGCCTCCTGCTTTAGGATGTGAACAGCCATGGCCTTACTGCCTCAATGAACAGCTGAGTCAATTGTTGATTTCTGTGTGCACACAAACACTGCTCAGAACAGTCGATGTGGGCAAATAAAACCTCTTCAACAGGTGCTGCAGTTGCACTCCCCAGGTGTGGGTGGATAATAACTTGTGTCTGCAACAAACCAAGCCAGGGGTCTCTCTTGGACCTTTTAAATCTCTCTGAGGAAAACTTCCCCATAGTAAAGCAATGCCAGATCCTCAGAAATCTGCTTTTCCTTATGCTTCTTATTCCTTGCTAGCAGAGCCATGCTGCTGGCTGACCTACCCCCCAAGAAAGCCTAAATCCCTCATGATGCCCAGCATGCTCTGGCACAGCTGACAGTCCACCTGGGAAGGAAGCAGCCTGTTCCAAGCAGAAACACAGTGTAGGTTTGGGTGGCTGTTTCAAAGCCCCCACTTGTGTTTCCCTGCCCTCCTTTCCGAGCTGCAGTCTGTCCTGCCATCCCTGGCTTTGTGCTGGGAAGCAATGGGGTGTCAGGCTTCTGTCTGTCTGCTTGACAGAAAACCCCATCCCCACCCTGGTACCCCTGTGCACAAAGCCTCCTCCTTGTGAGGAATGATTTCACTCCACATTAGAAATGCTGCAGGGGAGAGGCAGAGGAGGCTTTGAGTGTGATTTAAGGGCATTTCTCACACTCACTGCGTGCAGGGAGACCTAGCTGAGCTGCCCAAGGAGGGCAGGACAAACTCAGGGCTCCATGTAATCACAATAACAGGGGAAAGGAGTAAACTGTGTGAAGGGAGAGACATTAACAGCTGATTGCAAACCTCAAGCAGAGGCAGGAGCAAGAATAAAAGGCCAAACCCTGCTATATTTTCAGCTTGCTCCAAGCTAATCAGCTGACAGCTGCTGCTTTGCCTGCATGGGGTGAAAATTAGACAGAGTCATGCAGGGAGATGATCCAGGCACTGCTGGGGGCTGCTGGGACCAGGAGCTCTTGGGCTGCCTCCCTTTGTCCTCCCAGCAATGCCTCTTGGCTTACTCCCTCTTACTTTTCTCCTTCTCATCCACTGCTGTCCTGTTCTCTGTCCCATCCCATCCTGCCTCCTTCTGCTCTGCTTTTCTCCCTCTCCAATGCTCCTGCTGTTTTCCCACTAGCCAGGCAAGGTCCTTTACTGTGCCAGTAGCTATCCAAAGCCATGGAGGTAAAGAGGTGCCATGTCCTCACATTCACTAGGGAGATGCCGAGGGGATCAGATGAGACACAGCAAAGCTTCTGCTCCCATCCAGAAGTCAGGTGCTTTCTCCTTTCCACAAGAAAACTAGAAACCTGCATCTGATTTAAGGCTGCAAATCACAGTTCTGAACCATGAGGGACAGGGACTA